TCAGCCTTTGGTTGATCTGTAATTCTTCTAACAGAAGCAGGAGAACAGCTTGCTATGTTTTGAATTTGTTCAATGTTGTGAAGCCATTGGTTCATTAGGATTAGTGAAACCAGCTGTAGACAAGAATGATTGAAAATTAACGTCAAAACATCACTAGTCCATTAAGGATTAAGGCAGTTTTGGAATTAGAGCTGAGATGAACCCTGAGAATCCTTCAGAGATCCATCAGCTTGTCTTGTGGTGGACACCAAACAAGTACAAAAAGCCCTGAAGAGCTTACAATCAAAGCAGATATGATAAGGCAATAAGGAACTTTAAATATGAGTAAAAGGGGAAGATTAAGGTCCATTGAGAAAATTAGTTCTGCTTTTCCTTTTTTTTCCTCCTTTATTGAACAAAGAGTCTAATTTGTGACACAGATCTTGTTGTGACACAAATCCTGGCTGGCTGTTTTTGCTGCTGTTCTCTGCATGTGAGCAGATGCTGTCTCAAAGCCTGTCTCTTTTGGAGCCTTCATAGGCCACAACCATTGGCAGACAGGGCTTGGTTCCAAGGCTAGGTAAGGATTTTTGTGACACAAGACAGACTGTACTTTTTATTGAAAGGTAACAGTGTATTCTGAAGACTAGAGTGACCCGATGATATTTCCTCAGTAATAAGCTGTGCACGCTAATGCTTTCTAGAAATTTTATTTCTTCTTTTTTTTCTCTCCATCTGATCAGTAAGACATGGATGAATTATTAATGTCCCTTCTTTTTTTATTTTCTTACGGTACAACTGTAAGGAGCTTGAAATAGAAAGGATGGGCATTAGTGAGCTTTACAGGGAGTGTGTGTATCAATGGATAAGGGGCACTGGTGGTATTTTCAAAGTAAAACTTTAGTTTTTCTGCATTCCTCAAAGAATGAACACCTTCCCTTTGGGGAAACACAAGTAGTGCCTGCACAAGGGGATTATAGAGAAAAATGGATCCTAATGGAAGGTGAGAGGTGGAAGCTTACTCTTCTGCTACAGATTGAGCAGGTGAGTGACCAACCCTTCTGTCTCTGAGGCTGGCATGTGAAATCCCAGCTCTATTTTCACCTTAGAGATGATGCATATTGGTTTTGGTATCTCAGTACTGGGATAATTTAGTGCCTTGTGGGGGAAAAAATGCTTCTGTGGGCAGAGCGAGGACACACAGATGGGATCCAATCTCTGCTTGGTATTTGAAGAATATGTTTAATATCAGTTATGTATATGTGGGAATTGATGTGTAGTCACACTAAGGCTCTGTCCACCCCCAGAACTGGAGAAACAGAAGTGTTTGCTTTTGTTTCCGCTTCCTTCTCTGTTTAAGCTGCAAGAACAAAAAGTTGTTTTCAATAAAATTTAATGAAATGAGATTCATGACAGCAGTGCTGCACAACAGCAGACTGGAGCTCCATTCTTGAGCTGCATTTTGATGTGTAGTCATCTGCGTTTGTAAGACCCAAGTTGAGAAACACAGCCTTGGACTGGGAATGAGTGTATCCATTTTTATCTCATCCTTAATAGATCTATCAACAGAAAGATGGAGTTGACGAAGGCCCACTGTAAAATCTTGTGGGGGGTCGTATCTGAAATAATCAGAATGACAAATTTCTTGGGTGGGAGTTTACTCTGGGCCCGTGTGAGGTACACAAGGCATATATGATTTCCCAACAGATTGCCTTCCCCTGCACATATTTATGATGCACCTCTTCCTTCTGCCCCCCGCCTATCTCAGTCTTCTCGTATCACTACCTTGTGTTATCCTTTCAGCAGCAGGTGATGGTCTAGGAACCCAGACCAGAGGGTGAACAGGAGTAGCACACTGTGGCTTCCCAAGCACAGTCAGGGGGGCTATTGCTCTAACGTGCAGAGGCTGTAACAGGCACCAGCAGTCTGACAATTATTCCTCTTTCTGGAGCAGCATGGCCCAGTCTGGTTCTCTTACCTCTACTGCAGTATCTGAATATCCCTGTTGGATGAAGCAGGGTGTTGGATTTTGTGAATATTCTTTAGTTGTGTCTTGTCAGTTTTGCCTGCAAGCGTGTAAGCCCTGCAGCTCTATGAAATCAGTGACATGATTGTGTATGACAGTCATTAGTGGGTGAAACAGAAATCTGTCTGTGAGCATCTGTTTTGAGGGAGCCAAATATAATTAAAGTTTAACCATGCTGCATTTGCTCTTTTATTTACTGGGACCCAGTCCTTCTTAGGGATCGCAGTCACGCTCCTTGAGGTCCTTCTGAGGAGTTTGTCATTGTGTGTGTGTTTCATATAAGTGTGTTTTGTATTACAGGCTGGGTCAAACAAGTTTGTTCAGAGGTTCACTTGAGGATAATGAAACTCTACTTTCTTGGATGTGTTCAAGTTTTTTCCCAAGGGGAATACTTTTTGGTTTCAAGTTGTTCTGAATGGGCAGACACTATACTGCTGTGTTTCCTAGCATAAATCAAGACAGGTGTCATTTTTTTGCATACGTTTCCAACAGATAGTATATTGTTGCAGTAAATGTCAGTATAAAACTAATGCAAAGCGGAGGACTGAGTTCAGTGAATCCAGTGCTTTGATTTTCTCATGCACGTAGCAGACATGGATATGCTTTGAATAGGCAGAGGATATCTGACAGCAGTTGGTTGCTTGCACTGTACTGGCTCTTGGTATAAAGAAGCCACTGAGAATTCTAATTACTAGTTATAGTTGTAAATTAATTACACTGTAGTCAAAGTGCCTAAGCATGACTGGAACCTCTCTGTGGCTTTGTGCAAACTAAAAGCAAGTGAAACCACAGTGGAGCTCAACCATTCTGCCAAAAAAACCCCTGAACTTTTATGAAGAAATAAGAACAACCACAAAAAAAAAATAATAAAGAAACATGGACAAATGTAAGTTTGTGAAGGTACTGACTCAGAAAATAGCAAGGATGCAAATACACATTTCTTGTTGAGTATTGGCATGGTTTTCCATGGCACCCAGTACATGTCACATTATTCTTTTTCAGTTGGGTGGCTATCTATGGTCAGTAGTGTCTCTACTGTGAAGTCAGTAGAACTTTTCCACTGGCTTCTACAAGCTTTCTAGGTTGTACTGTAATGGGATGTGGTTTGGAACTGGCCTGAAACCACATACAAATAGTCTGGAAATAAAAGATTCAAGAGACATTTGCACATTTCCCACACAACCCAAGCCTGGGAGATTTTTTTAATATTATATTTTAATTTCACACTTCTCTGGGTCACTTTTTCCTGAACTGAGCTAGAGCTTATTTTTATGTGGTGAATCTCCAAGCTGGGTAGTAGTCTTGCATTGATGTACTACATTTTTTTAGTTGTATTTCCATGATACTGTTTGAGCAACAGGGTGGATTAAATGTGGTTTTATTCTGTAATTGATTCTATATACTTGACAATTAGTAAATAATGTCTTAACTTAATGGAACTTTGAGTAATGGCAGGATGTAATGCAGAGGTTGATTTTGTACAGACTCCCTAGTCAGGAAATGTCTTACAGCATGATAACCAGTTTATTTTTAAGGGAGAACTGGATCAGGTATTGAATTATGCTAGGAGGAAAGCACTCAGAGCAGCATCCATGCTTTTAGGGACCGTGAAGATCTTACTAGGCCTTGGAAAAACTTTACGTAAAAGGTTGACTTGAGTTCAGCTCTACCAACAAATACAGAGAAAACTTTGTTTTATTGCTAATGTTTTAAACTTTTTAACTTGATCTCATTTTAACTTGGGTGGATGTGGTCATCTGTTTATTATGATCATCTGTTTATTATCTGATGTTGATATTATCACTTTGACTCTGCTTTCTAGGTACAATCATTCATATTGCAGTCATGACTTGCAGAGAGCTTTCAAAAAGACAAAGACGGAGAACTGCTTTAAAGAAATTATAATTCATTTGGAAAATCCTTCCCTTTTACTCTGTTCTTCCTTGTATTATTAGTTTATTGATTTAGTTACATTTAAGATGGGTCTGTGTAGTTAATTTTAGATGTATGTGCCGCTACTTTACTGCAACTCTGAAATCTTAAATGTACTAATAGCAGTAGGAAATAAGTTCCTACTCCAGCACTTAACAAATTAAAAGGTTTTTGCATAAATTTGCAAATAAGCACTGATTAGCAATTCCATAAGATTAGGTGCTTAACTTCAAGTGGAGAGCAAAAGGTGTCTTCCCAAGGTAGCTCTTGATGTCCGACTTAAATCCCTAAATTTGCGTCCCTTTGACTGACTGGTAAGTTGGAGAATGTTTTTAAAGAGACTGCTCTGAGGGGGCAAACCAGATGGAATGAGCCTCTCTCCGTGGTGGTTTTTTTGCTGATGGCTTTAATTGTTTCTTGGGGCATCCAATCTAATAATTTTTCTTTGTGACTTTTCTTCTTGAGCTTTGAGTACCTTGCTGTGTTACGGATTTATCCATGCAAGACACAGAATGGTGGTGTGGGATACACAAGTCTCTTGGAGATACTTTTGAAAAGAACAGCTTCAATCCATCATTTCAATTACAGGCAATTAAAGATGAAAGGGATGCTTGCATTTTTGCAAGTACTGGATATTGTCACTGTTTTAGTAAACAACTTCCATGCTGTTTATTAATATGTTTATGAATATTTCTGTGTTGAATTTTTGACAGGTGATGCTCAGCTTGAAAAGGGCTTGAGTTGCAGTTTGGATGACTTCATGTGGCTGGGGAGGGTCCCTCTGTGGGTAAATGGATAACTGTCAGGCCACAGGGGTGAAGGATATTGTTTTTCTCTCCAAGACACAACAACCTTCAGAGTGTTTTAGGGTTAGCGCCAATCAAATTTCATTTGCCTGTTAACTTTCTTTAAGAGGTCTCCATTATTAGGTACTCCATGAGGTTCAAAGGCTGCACTGAATGATGCGGGGATATGCCAAGCCTCAATTTTTAAGTGAGCTGCACTTGTATCAGAACCACTGGCTCCTCGGTGAGAGTCTTTGTGACTGCTCCAATTTTTGTCTCCTCTGTCATTTCTTCTTTTAACAACACACTCGTCGATGCCCTGATAAAATGAGATTGTGATATTTTACTTAAGTCGAGTTAAAAGGTGTCATAAATAAAACCTCAGTGAGGGTAAAAGTATTATAATCTAGATCAGTGAGTTCATAATCTGAGTATGTAAGCTTGGACTGAACAACACAGCCAGCTCTTCACTTCTGTTCAGAACTGCACTGCCATGTGCATGCACATCTCCTGGGGCTGAGAGTGTTATGCTTCTGCCCGGCATTTCTTTTTGAAACTGTTTTTGTATGACTTGTACTCAGGGCTTAATAAAACAGTTTGGGATTTTGGTGCAGTTCATTTGCCTAATATTTCACCTTACTTTTTGTGTTCCAGCTGTTGATAGTTATTCTCAATCTTAGACTGCTTTTGACCAGATCGATTATTTTAAAATTGAATCTGTAGGTGCAAGAGACCACCACAAAATTGTGTGTGTAGTCATGGATGTGTATATGCAAGTGTCTAAGGTGTACATGTCTTGCTTCAGTCTGAACCTTGTATCTTTAAGCACCGAGGTATCCCTTAGCTGTTTGGTTACTTTGACCATCTAAAGTTCAGAGGGCTCTGAACTTCAACTTGCAGATCAGTCTGTGTATTTACTTTGGCTCTCAGGCTGTGGAGAAATCCTGCCTGGCCTTGGAGCCAGCCCATTCTCTGATTACTTTTCAACAACTTTTACCTGAAAGACTTTTCAACTGGTACACTCTTCTGGTGGGGGTGATTTCTTCTGTACCTGAATTGCAGCAGACTCAGGGACAGCTGTCAAGCTCAGGGACAATATCATTCCTCTCCTGTTTATGTACTTTAAAAACATTTCTGCAAACACCCTTGGATCCTAAGACACCAGGGAAGTGTGAACTTGCATCTTCTGTGAGACATGGGAGACTACCAAATCAGTCCTCTCTAGACTGTTCTAGTTCTCCAGGCTGGTAGTGAGCTACTCCATAATTAATATTCCACTGAGTAAAATGGGGGTAATATTCAAATAAAATACATTTTAACTTTATTTTCTTTGTTCCCTGCTCAGCCCTCCATAACACAAGAAAAACTGAACAAGCTTTTACAGAAATCACTTTTGGGTAGGAAAACGTTCATTCCTGAGGAAAACTGTTACATATTCATGGCTTTAATTATCCTGTGCAGCCCCAAGTGTTCAAAGCACAAGTATCGAATTACAAACAGAAGTATAATAAATTATACATAGATTTGTGCCCCTCCTGTGTATATGTCAGGCACTAAGGAGTGCTGTTTTGCCTCCATGTATATAGGCACGTTTATCTAGAGAAAAAGAATCAATGTATAACTTATTATCTTTTTCTGTAATGTGCTCTGAGCTGTTTGAACAATCTTAAACATAAGTACACAAACACAGATGGCCTGGCTGTTCTGTTTTGGTTTGGCGTGATAAAGCTGTCATCAGCTGCTGTCTAGTTCAGCCACACTTAATCATCCCTTGATGGTCTTAATACATGAGCAAAACCTAGGTTGTGAGAATCTGGGTTTGTGAGAACATATGGAATATTTGGCTCTGATGATGGCTGTTGTCACACTTTGATAAAGGTTTCTGCCCCCCTCACAGAGACAGTGAAATGTCCCGTATGGATGCTTCTCTTTTGATTCAAAGCAAAGTGATCCAGACTTGTTTTAAGACATTTGTGAATTGTGTTCATGTTGTTCTGCTGACCTTGAATCGAAGGGGATGAGAAACACATGTTACTTCTCTTCCTTGGGCTCTGCTGTGGGAACTGTAAATCCTAGAAGATGGTTGAAATAGTTGTCTGGTGGCACTGAGCTATTAAGCACCCAAGATTTACATGTGATTGAGCTTTTATTCTCTTCATGATTTGCAACAATTAGTTATGTTGGATGGAACTTTTCTTAGCCCGACGAATACTGCTCTTCGAATACTAGAAATTAGGAAATTGTCAACATTATTTCACCTTCTAATTTTTATTCTCGTGTGTATTGTGTGATTGACTCACTCAGGTAATTACTAATCACTCAGCATTAGTTTTTAAGCACATTGTGTGTTTTTTTTCTTCAGGTGTAAACCACTACTGAGGCATTACAGAATAAGTTGAGGGGAATGTGCAGTCTATAGGTTATTCAAGCCTTATGGGATCAAGATGTATGCCAACCTGACACATGTTGGTATTCTATCAAATGAAGTGTATGCAGTTGCAACATTTGGCAGTCCTCCTTTCTTTCTGGAAGCTGCTCTATTTTACTTGACCTTTGTGCTGCCCAGTACCCTTAATGTCTCCAGACATAAAGAGGCCTAACATTGTGTCAGATTTTTCTCCTTTTTTGTCCATCTCAACTGGAATACATTGTTGGTTCTCAGGCTTCTTGTGTGTCTTGAACAAGATGCCAAGTAAGCAAGCAAAAATGTTGATAATAATAGCCTTAAATAAATAGTCCTCCCACCTTTTTTTGTTTGTCAAGATGAAATACAACGTGAAAGTGAAAGGGAAAGAAAAAAATAAATAGGAAAAAATGTTGGATAAAAATGCTGTATAGCCAAAATAAGATTTTATACATCATTACCAGTTTTCTCTCTCCTCTGTTTTTTCAGAGTCTGATAGGCTATATAAACTTCAGAAAATAATCATTATGTAATAAATTGAATCAAATTGTTTTAATTTCATTTCTGAGGTTTTTTTATTGGATGCCTGCCAGTATTTTCCATGAGAGAATTACTCTCTGGAAGCCATCATAGAATAGTATTTTTCCCAGTCTGTTTGCATTATAATGGGGTGACTGACCTAACTCTTATCATATTTGAAGGTAGATTCCAGGTGGCTGTCTCAAAGGTGCTGAAAATGAGGCATTTGTATCAGAGCTGCCATGGTAGCAGTTAATTCCCTCAATAGACAAATGTATCCCAACTTGTCTTTGCAGTGCAACCATCACTGTGTAACATAAGATATATGTGATCTATAGTTCAAAAGCTTTTGAGTCTGCATGAAATAGTAAGTAATTTCTCTGATGAAGTAGAGCTAAACCTGTTAGTGTGGTTTAGTTAAATCTCAGCCAATTAATTTTTCATAGGCTGTGTAGCAGGGATTGAAGGAGCATGCAAGGTTTTTTTATTGCTCCTGGGTTTTGGTTTGAGCAGTGGTCAGCATATGCAACATAGAAGAATTTCTGTGCAGTTGTTTTTTCTCTAGAGGAATAAGATGATGTCCAAAATTTTGCATCCTTCTGGTCTGAGCTCCTAACACTTGCCCCTTGAAATTCTTTTAGTGTTTGTGAAAAGCATCCTGATTACTGGATACTGGAGGATACAGTGATTTACAAAATTGTTGGTTTTGCCCATGCCTGAAGGCTAGTGATTTAAACAACTTTTCATCTGGAACTAGTTCTACTTTTGAAATTGTGTCATTGCTTCCATTACTGTGAATGTCTGCCAATTCCCATCTCTCCCCCCACCAGGAACAGCCTAAGCTTCTTGTAGCAGCCTAAGGGTGAAGGATCAGAAGGAAAATCAAAAGAATATGAAGGTCAGGCCCTTTCTTTGCTTTCAGGATACCTTGGCCACATCAGTAAACTGATAATGAGGCATCACCATTTTGTCAGAGATGAACATGGCTGCAAAAGTCACCATGGAGGAAGAGCTTGTGCAGCCCTTTTTCACTTTGAGAAATGGATTAGGCTTCATTCAGTTTTTTTCCTATACATCTGTTCTTAAGCACTGCTTTGTGGTTTCTGCTTACACCTCATAATTTGGCTTTTCTGTTTATGATGGGAATGCCTTTTCCTTACGCAGATATGAAGTGCCATTACAATCAGCTTGGGTTACTCTTATTGTCCTCTTTATCCTCTGACGCATGGAAAACCACTTATTCTCTGCCTAAGAACTGAAACTGCCACTGATACTGTGCAGATGTGTGCTTGCTTTCTGTCAGTGATACAGACTTGTGTCTTTAGAGCAAAACTGTCCCTTGAGACATCAAAACATTATGTCCAAGCCACTGTTCCTTTGTTTTCCCCCAGATTATTCGTTTTTTTGGTTGGTTGATTTGGATTTTTTTTTGTTTTCTCTGACACCAGAAAGAAATCGCCAACCTGGATCAGAGCAGGAGACCATTAAGCCCAGTTAAATCCAGTAGTTTGGCTTTGAAGTTACCAATGCCAAAAATATTGGAAGCAGTAGGTGGGATAATCAGTACCTTTTCTTTTAATGTATGATTAAAGAGTTTAAACTCAAGGGCTTGCTGTTTGAAGCCCTTCCAGAATCACGTTCTGTATTAAACTGATTGCTCTTATCTCTAAAGGAATTCCTGCTTTCTCTGAGTTTCCCAGTATGACTACACATGGTGTGAAAGGGTCCTCTGTTTTGCCATTTTTGGAAATTATAAACAGATTTTAATAGCTTCTACTCATTATAACATTGATGGTTGGTTTTATAGCCTCCTTCTGAGTTCTTCCATTGTGATAAATACTTGTCTTTCTGGTTCCCTCTGTTTATACTTTTCTTTTGTGTGCATGTTCTCCTGGAAGCATGATAGTTATAATTGTACAAGACCCAGGCATCTTCTACTTCCCCAGTGTGGTGTCCACAATAGGATGGACATCAGTTGGATTAGTTATGTGGAAGATCAGCTAGTGCTGCTGCTTTAATAGTTGTTCCAGGGACATTCAGATAGTTTAATGCACATCCACTTGATTATCCTGCAGGCTTTTGTGATATTCACCACTCCCTCCAATTGAGAGTATACAGATTCACAATAAAAATTATGTGTGACTTACAGTTGCAACTTCTTCACACAAATTTGTATTTCTGTTCAACTCTGACAAAGCATGCTCTTTTACTTGTTGCATCATTGCTGGCATTGGCATGGAAAGAGAGGAAGAATTCTTGGGACCAGGAATAGGATGAAAAACTCCTCTGTTTCCTTTGAGACTTGTCAGTTACTGTCAGGTTTTTTAATTAGAAAGGCTTTTGTTTGTTCTCAGTCAACATTTTTGGAAGATGAAATCCAACAGCAGTTGGTTGAGAATAATAGTTTAAAAGCAGTAAGATTCTTTGAAATAATAAAAGCCATTTCAAGGAGGCACTAGACAGATGTAAATTGCAGGAATGGAATCACAGCGTGTTTATCATTAGGGCATCTTGGATGCTACCTATGCAGAAATATGAGAGTGAAAAATTCACTTATCTTCATCCCAGTTATTTACACTGTTTTTTGCAGCTTTTTCAGCAGAGGAACTTTCCACAGAGAGGTGCTCCAACCTGCACACAGGATGTGTGCTCACTTAAGGGGTAGGTTGGGGCCAATGATCCACCTGAGCTCAGTTCCTTAGTTAAGGGAAACTCGTTTCTACAGCCAAGAGCAAACTCAGCATTGAAGTCTCTGCTACAGCATCTTGGAACATCTTGGGTTGTTTCTTCCTAGACACCTGTTGAAGGCAGCTCTTTGTGTGGTTCAACAGCAAGGCTTGAACTTCTGGCATCTGAGATACTGCTGATAAGGAGCAACTCTGAATACTGATATCATCTAAAAGGATGAAGACATAGTATCTAGCCTAGCATGGTCTGGGGAAGCAGTGGAGGAAGTAATACACAGGTCCTAGGAATATAATGAATTGGAAGAAAAGCAGAGATTGGTAGAATTGATATAATGGAATGTTTTTAACAAGATTAAAATAACAGATGAAATCCTGATGCTTCCAAGTTGGAGTGAAAATTTTCAGTTGCCACTGGTAGGGTGAACATTTTGACAACTCTATCTTGAAAATAAGCAGCTGTTTTTCCAAAGCTTGTCAACCTAAGTCTGTGATTTCAGGGTGAAGCAGGAAACTGAATTAATTAAAATGAGAATTTGAAGTTAACTGTAAAACATTTGCATGGACCCTCCCTCTTCAGAATTAGGCCTATTTAATTAAATTAAAGAGACTACCTTAGGTGGTGTTTAATTTTGTGTGTGGGTTTAATGTGTTCAAACTAATCCACTTGCAGTGAACATGGAACAACCGTCTCGATTGTCACTGTGGACCCGGTCTTTGCATTGTAAACAGTAGGGTGATATTCAGGCAGATGGTGTACAGAAGAACTTGGTTCTTCTGATATTCTCTAGATATTAGCAGTAAATCAATAGGTGCCAGGACATTTTCATCTACAGTGCATGCTTTAGATGAGGAGAATATATATATGCGTGGTTTTGTGAGACACAAGAGAATTAGTGTGGAGAGAATATTGGTTATGTTGGGTATCTCCTTAGTACAAAGCATTTCTTTAAAAAGAGCTTAAGAATTAAGATGTTGTTGTGATGCTTTTGTGAACCTGCATATTGCTGCTACCTTCAGCAACTGTGTTAGATTGATTTGTGATTGCAGGTGGAAGATTTTCAGACACAAATATGCAATGCAAATCACACTCTGCCAGGGCAGAAGAAAATAATAATTTCACTTTAGGTATTCAGACAATACTGTCATGTAAAAATATGCAATCTGAAATTTAACCAAAATGAAACACTGGAAAGTCAGATATTCTGAAGTAGCAACAGGGATTTTACAAAACAACACCTGAGCTGGGGTGTCATTTTACCTCCCAGCATCCCATTCCTAGAGTGGTGTTGGTGAGGCCAGGGCAAAGATACAGCATAGCTGTTAAAGCTGCTGCTGAGGTTTCTTAGTTTCTGGAAGATGCCTAGTAGAAGATTCAGCTACACTTTCAAACACCTATGCTGGGCCTGGGTTCCCAATAAGGTAGCAGCAGCTGTTACACTTCCCTAGCTGACTATGAAGAAATGACTGACACCTGATTCTTAAAGAAATGGAGCAATGTTATTGCTAAGGGATGAATTTTATGTGATGCTACTTAAGAAAGCTATCATTTTTAGAGTATCAATGACTGATGCCTGATGTGTTGTTTGTTCCTCTTATTAATCATTTTGGTTATCAGATAGGATTTTTCTGCTAAATGCAAAGAGTATCATGTAACTATTCAAGAGCCTTGTTCTCCTTGTGACCCGAAGGCATGTCAGTAGGAGGTATTCAGCGCAGTGGGTGTTCTCATTACCACTTGACATTTTGCTGTTTGGTTTTCTGCCTGTTGCTATTTAATGATATCAATTCTTTCTTTGCCAGTCCCAGAAGCCATTTAGCAAGCGATGTACTATTAGTGCTGCTTAACAATGTCGACATAGTCACTAGGAAAAGAGTTTAATTTTCAAACAGTGTGCTTCAGCATTCCCCCTCACCATCTGCTCCTGTCATATCCCTCACTGTTTCCCAGTTAACCCTTTGCCCTGGCCTCCTTGCCCAGTGCTCTTGGAGAGGGTGGCAGAGGCTCTGCACGGCTTTGCCTGAACTATAAATACCCTCTGAGGCTAAAACAGACTGCAGGTCACTGTAATGGCAGTGACATGGGTGAAAGTTTTGGATTATGCAAATTGGCATATATTTGCTTTGTAGAGGCATGGGCAGAAAAATAGAGCAGTCACAGAGTGCATTGCAGGCTGTCTGAACTTAGCCTGCTGTTAATCACAGGCACTTTGCAACTCCCATTAGTGTTGAGTGTGAAGGTCTCACAGTCTTTAATGTAATATCTCAAATAAGACTGCAGAGGGAAAATACTGTACATTTTGGGAGAACAAAGACATCAAGACTGAGGATGAGATTCATCTCACTGAAGTTAATCTACCAAAATGATAGATTGCAGTTGGTACTAATCATCCATGCTTCTCTCTCTCCCATGGAGAGGTGGCATATCTCCCAAGGATGATTTCATGGCTCTAATCACTGGGTAACTCTGACTGTTAAGTGGCACTAATAGGCCAGACTGAGAAGGATGCTCAGCTTCAGATGAGCTCAGGTGGAGGCTGGACAAGTTCATGGTAGCAAAATTCTTTGCAAGTTATTAAATCCATAGCAGCAGTATCTGGCTTATGAACCTCCTAAGCCGAAAACAGTTGGAGGCTGTAAGTTCTTAAGGGGAAATATCAGACATGGTTGTCCTGTTGTGCTGTTCTCTTTCCTAAGCATCTATTTATGGCTACAGTTCGAGCTAACACACGAGGGAGATGGACTTTCTGTCTGACACCATATGGCCATTCCTGTGCTCTTATAGGAGGCCATTTTAGCAGTGAGAATCCACATTTTAGTAAGAGATGATTTGTCCAAATGGGAAATTGGCAGTAAGGTTTATTTCCAGATCTTTAGTGAAGTGCTACTGACCTACAAACAAAAAAACTGGAAGTCAGTTTTACAGAAAGAGCCTGTGCCATGTGCTGAATGTCAGTGCTTTTTATCAGGTCACCTCAAGGTTTTCGGAGATTCAGATGAGCTGTTTCACCACGTGTTCCCCTCAGATGGTGCAGACAGCTTGTTTGAGCCTTAGACAGTACAAGGAGATTCATATTCAACATAAATTACAGTGTACTGTGTAGCTGTGCTGCTACACGGATGCTCCCTGCCTTTGTGACAGCACCAGCTGGACTAACAGGATGGAAGCTTGTCACTTCAAGTTACTCATTGAGAGCACAGAATGTGTGGCCCCAAAAATGGGTGTCACTCACCAGAACAGTGTTCACTGTCTTGGGCACATGCAGATATGTGTGTACCTTTGTATTTTGGATGATTGTTCCAGTTGAAAGATTTTGCAGACTTGACCATCCTAAATGCTGATACCCTTAAAATGGTTTGCTAAGGAGGCAAGTACCTCTGATTGAGCATTTTGCTGCCAGTATAGTAAATGTATGGCCATCATTTGCTGCAAAGATCTTCAGAGTCTCCATAACTGTTAAGTAGCATCATCGCTGCATAAATATACTTCTGTTTGAAGTCAGAATTGCCTTTTATGGCAATCTCTACATAAAAAGAAATTTTGATTAAACCGAAATGTTTTCCTTATCAAATCCCAACATAAAAAAAACTGATGGAATTGGATTCAAAACATCAAGCTGGGCTTTGGAAATGGAAGGTCTTATTCTCTTTAAAGGACACTGTGTCAAAACTGACAGGACAAAACCTTTGATGCAGGAAGAATGTATCAAACTACTTTTGCAATTTCCTGCTTGAATTCTTGTGAACTGCTTTTGTCTAATCATATTTGATATCAAATATAATTTTATTTAATGTGGATTAGGTAGTATGACATATGCACTGTTTCATCATTCTCTGTTTAATTTTGAATGTGACATAATATTTTCTAGTACAGATGAAATTTGTTCAGTAGTCAACTTTGAAAAAGAGCCTGTCTTTTATATCTCTGTTATGCATGGCAAACAAAAAAAATTACTTCATTCTCAAAATTCTCAATTTTTTTACTGTAATCTGTAGATTACAGCCAACACTGTGGAAAGATGGTTTATCATCACATCCTGTCCTGTTCAGTAGCCTCCATAGCATAGCTGCACACAGCCAGAAGGAATGTAGTTTGGTACCAAAGGGAGAGGTTACTGGAGGAGTCAAAATGTGACACAGAAGCTGAAGGACAGGGTTTTAAAAGAGATTGATTTTTCACCCCAGTGAGTATTGGGCATGACAGTTTAGGGCTGAGGATATAGCAGCCTTCTCTGATGTGGCTGAATGAAGGCAAAGCTTGTTCCTCTGTTACTCATAGGCCGTGGTGCCTTCAGCAGTAGTGTTGAAGTTGTAGAAGAGAACCCTGTTGAGAAAGGTGAAGAATAATACCAAAACCCCAACAGCACTAACAAATAGGGTGTAAAACAGGAGACCGTAATTGTGTCTAAAGGTTGGAAGGTGACAGCAGCAGTGTGGAAACCATTGTGAAGAAGGAAAGGTTGGTTGGTGTGGCAGTGAGGGTGTTTTTTAAGGACAATATTCTCAGACTTTTTTTTCAGCTTTCCCTGAAGCCCTGGACTCCTACCAAATCTGAAAGGAAGGAGAATGTAGGTAGGATGCACTGATATGTAGTTTTTACTCATTGCTCAATATCAAACCACTTGTCAGTATGATGGAATTTTTTCCTTCTGGTCAAGCTGGCAGAGAGATATATGCATACAGCTCTGTTTGTTTCTTTTTAATCCAGTAAAGCCATGGCTTTGGCCTACCTACCTACTACAGTCCTTCAGGAGTTTAGTTATGCAGTAAAGAAGAGACTTGGGGCTATAGCACACCCACACTGCTTATCTCTTTCTACAGTACATAACAGTTGCAGTTCCTGTGGTTGCTAAGCAGATCTTTGGCTTTTTACAGGATATTCAGAAGTGTGTGTCCTCAGCATTTACAGATATGTGAAGTACATGTTCTGCAGCTTTTTCCGAAGCAATGTCCTATACTTACATGAGACTGTAGAGCCTGCACTCAGTGAGCCAGGGGAGACTCTTCCAGCTCTGCGTTCCCAAACATACAAGAGACAAGGATAAAAGAAAAAGCTTTTGTGTGAATCTTTTTTAGTTGTATATGGTCTTAGTTCTGCAGCAGTTATCCTTCCCTTGCCTGAATGAGGGACCCATTCATTTCACAGGATCACAGAGTATGCTGAATTGGAAGGGACCCACAAGGACCATCGAGTCCAACCCTTAACCCTGCAGAGGACCTTCCCCAGGAGTCACACCATATGCCTGAGGGTATCGTCCAAAACCTCTGTCAGGCTTGGTGCTGTGACCACTTCCCTGGTGAGCCTGTTCCAGTGCCCAACCACCCTCTGGGTGAAGAACCTTTTTCTAATATCCTGCCTAAACCTCTGCTAACACAACTTCAGCCCATTCCCTTGGGTCCTGTCACTGGTCAGCACAGAGAAGAGATCAGTGCTTGCCCCTCCTCTACCCCTCATGAAGAAATTGTGGACTACAATGAGGTCTCCCCTCAACCTCCTCTTCTCCACACTGAACAGACCAAGTGCCCTCAGCTGCTGGTCATGCAGCTTCCCCTCAAGGCCTTTCATCATTTGCAGAAGGATGTAATTTTACAGCACTATGTAGAAGTAAAATAGTTTTTGAATCAGGAAGAATATGTGTCCTGATCTAGGATAAAGTTGGGAAGACAATTAGAACATGTGTAAGGACAAGGTTAAACAATTTCTTCTTCCTTTAGCTTTTCCATATTGTATTGAATAACAGCTGTCTTACCAAGAACATTTTCTAGTACCGCTGAGAAACCACTAAGAGCACCAAAAAAATTTTGTCCTTCCCGGTAGAAGTCTGGGGTGGGATAATTGCTAGAAATCTGTCACTTACTTCTTTACAATAGAGCCTTTCAAAATCCAGTTTGAAGTTTCCCATTGTATAGATTTATAAATCCTGGATTGTTGCAGTGGTGTGTTCTGCAGGTGAAGTTAGTGCACTGAGTACACTCCACCTGTTTTACAGTAAGAACTTTTTGCATGATCTCTACATAAACCAAGGGTTTGCTTCTGACTAATACATAAAAGGAGAACGAATTCTCTGCATCAGATCCTCGCTGTGCTTGCACAATGTCTTGCAGTGTTATGATACCATTGCTGGTAGTCACAATCATATCGTTATAAACTTAGATTCTGGTATGTGAATACTTTGCGTATAGATGTACTTCTTTCAAAATACATATGATTACTTAGTTTGAATTGAAGCCTGCATGCTAGCTCTTATATATATTGCATGTAATATACGTAGGTTTTCTGCAATAATATTGACTCTGACAGAAATGGGAGAGACACTGTACAGTGTTTGTGTGTGTCTGTGGTATTCCTGACAGGTAAGCACCACGTACATGAAATCTCAGTGATTTTGCAGGTTAGCTAATGATTAGGTTTTTGTTATTACTTTGAGACAATGCAAAAGCACTTTTTAGCCCACAGTCTGATTTTGCCGTATCTTTCTTCACAGCTTCCTGTTATGGGAGGAGCCTTTATGGACTCACCCAACGAGGACTTTAGTACAGAGTACTCCTTGTTTAACTCATCAGCCAACGTCCATGCAGCTTCGTCCATGCAGAATCCACCAGAAGAGACATCCCGTTCTTCAAATGATGCCATATTGTTATGGATTGCAATAATAGCAACAATTGGAAATATTGTGGTTGTGGGAGTGGTGTATGCCTTCACCTTCTAGGATGACTGTCACTATAAGCACTGGAAGAGAGGAAAACTTCAACAGTATTTGTCATGTGTATGTATGTATGTATGTGTGTATATATACATGTATATCAATATAAATACATATAGGTAGGGACTTTGTTGATTAGGTGCTGCCACGGTTATGGAAATGAAATGCAAGTTAATCATGTTAAATCTTCATGGCAGAAAGTTTGGATGCAAGTTGTATGGAAGTGAGAACTTTAACTTAATATCAGTTTTGTATAGAAATGTAATAAAAGAGAGATCAACTTGGGTGTAGTAAATACAGAGAAGGTGATATTTATTTAGAAAGTGCTTATTTTCTACTGTAGATTTTTCTAGCAGCTCTTCTACTGTTTGTCAGCTCTTTCTTTGTGTATTTTTTTACTGTGATATAATGTTGTATGGAATTGTTCCATGTCATGTTTTCTGGACATCTTAGTTTTCTAGGTGGATTAAATACTTGGCATTGGCTTGGTTCTGATGAAGTCCAGGTTTTTCATGTGTGAGTCTTCAGCATGTGCATATGCTCCTAGGCTGTGTTGAAAATCATGGGTCTTAGAGCTCTGACAGGCAGAGGCAGCTATCTAGGACTTGCCTTCCAGTACCAGTTACTAGAGCTGATAATTGATGCTGAACCTGTCTGTTCGGGAGAAGGCACAGCTATTGCTGCTCTGCAGACCCTCCCTATTCCAGGGGAGGAAATGATAAACAGAGCAGCAGCACAAACTCCCATTTCTGTCTAGGAGTACTGAATTGCTGTGGTTTGTATTTCTGTCCCTTCCAGGAAACAAAGGCTTAATGCCATGCTTTTCATCTCATTTCAGTGTAGTCCAGATTTCTTACAGCAGCTCTATACTTTCATAAGGTTATTAATCTAATGAAAGAATGTGGGAAAACTGGGAAGGCTGATGGTTATGAGTAAGATAAAATTGAAAGAAAGATTGGACACTTATGCACTCACAAGGGAATGAATACATCAATCAGGTGTGTCATGGGGTAGAAACAACACAAAAAAGGTTATAAGTGACAGATATGCAAGTGCTTATATTTCAGTATTAATATATAATTAATACTGGGTTCTGGTGAGGATTCTGGAAATTATTTTTATATAACCTGCTGTAGGTAACGACTCTGATTATTTGGATTTGTTCTGTTGAGGGAAAATATTTTCATTGCGTTGTTCCTATAGGCAGTTCCTTTTCAAGAGCTGTATCTTTTCAAAACAAACTGTAGCCTTATTTGCTGGAGAAATATAAAATCTTGAGGAAAAGAAACAAAATCAACTCTATTGAAAATCTCCCTCCTCCCCCTTAAAAATTAAACATAAATATATAAAATGACGCTTTGAGAGTAGCAGACAAATTCTTCTTCTATGTCTGCATGTACTGTCTAGGTTTTCTGTCTCATATAGCTACTACCCTGATTCCAGAATGCCTTGTCTTCAGGCACAGAGACTATTTTTGACACTAGCCTGCCACTGAGCTTGAGGCTGGACTAAGAGCTGCTGAATGTATAGAGAGGTTTGGATTTTCTTCTTTTCTCTTTAAACCCATTTTCCTGCAGGGCTGGTGGACAGTTACTTGAATCAAAGCAGCATGCCCCAAATCAGTATTTATAACCACTCAGTAGTCACTGTGTAGTTGCAAACAGAGATAGCAGTGGGGAGAAAAGAAACTAAGTTATTTTGAGGCTGAGAAAAACAATGACAAGCTTCTCTGCGTGTTGTTGTTTTCCTCTTTGGAGGCAGGATTTTGTGAAAATGGTTGAGGATAGACAAAACCTGTGCTGGGGTAAAGTTTGAGAAGCCCAGTTCTAGAAAATCAGAGAGAAATAAAGCAAATTCTGTCTAACAAAATAGCTTTAGTTTTAAGAATTACAGAAAAATTATGTTTTCCACAGTGCTAAAATAGCTATTGATTCCTTCATAGGCAGAGGAAAGTGAAAAACAGGGGAACTGCATAAATAGTGTACTTTGACTGTTCTTATACCCCTCCTTGCTGAGCAGGAAGAAAGCTGTTAAATGAGGCTGGAAAGCTGCAGAGAAGTTCCTGGTGCAGAATCAAGCAGGACAAGGTCTAGTGTATGAACATGTAGGACCCATGAAAATATTACTTAATGTACTGTCCTGTCCCCAACCATTTTCTAATATTCTGTTGCCTTTGTAATTGTATCAATTACTCATCAACTTCCCTCAGTGTTTTTGTAGGCTCTCTACTTAAGCCTGCAAGCATTGTTTTTGCATAAAGAGCAAAACATTTCCACCATGATTAAAACCAGTTTGACACTATGGTACTTGCCCAGTGGGATTATTCTACTGCCTAATGAATTTTCCAGTGGAGTGCTTTGTTTAAATTTCCTGGAATATTAATCTTAATGCAATTAGCAATGTTTGCATCTCTTTCCCAGAGCACTGAACTAAACTCTTCAACCATGAAGAAAAGCATCAGAGTGGGAAGAGCAAAGAACAACCACTCTGCTAATGAAACTGAGTGACACTTTTGTGTTGTTTTTCCCAAAGAAAATGCCCTACTTTCATATGAAATTGATAGTAATAGTAGGAGTGTTAGAAAACAATGAGTTTCGCCTCCTGAATCCAGATCATCGTCATACATATTTTCGTCATTAGAGACTGACTTGTCAAGAAGGGCCGGACAGAACTTTAATTAAAGTAATTGGCTTGACAGGGTGACATGGCAAGCTGGGTGGAAGCAGCAAGTGCAGGCATTTCCTGTCTCATACCTAAATCGCACACTAACTGTGCAGCTCCTCTGCTGGGGAAAAAAATAGTTTTAGGATGCAGGTACAAGGATACTGCATGCGAGGGTCTATATGGAATATTGTTGAAATGTATTAAAGATCCCTACATCTCAGTGGTCAGACTGGTTCAAGCTCTGATCTACTTCAGTAGTGACAATATGTACACCATGTTTCTGGATGTTATGTTTTGGCTTCACCCACTACAACCACTTCTGTCTTCTGGGAGGTTAGGGAAGGTTTAAACTGAACCATTGAAAAAGATGGCTTATCCATCATTAAGTTTAGAAAAGCCACAGGGGAGTGGAGAAGTGGATGAATGGTGGATGTATGGTCCTGTGAAGTATGTTACCTCTTCATTGTGTAGGTATGTGTTAAACCCTGAACTGTCAACACAGCTTGACTTGGAGCACTGTAGCTTCTCCTGTCCTTGGAGCCAGGCAGGTGGCTAACTGCTGTCACTTGCTGAGGGGTGATGAGGAATCCCAAATGCATTCCCCAGAGCTGTTTTCTGAAGCCCTTCTGTAAAAGAAGAGGGCTCTGTGCTTTACTGAGCACTTTGTGTATCAGCCTGAGAGAAGGATTCTACTTGTACAAGATCTGTGCTTTAAATAAAAATGTCTAGTGTGGGTAACAGTTACAAAATCCTTGGTTGGAATTTGTTCTGTAGTAGACGAAGCAAACCACTTTCTATATGCAGTGTTAGGCCTCTTGTTTTGTTGTGGAATTTCATCATACAAACACAAGAAGCAATACTGTATGTGCTCTGCAGAGTTACTAATGAGACATGGGAAGCAGGAAGACAAGCTGGGGTGCCCTAATGAGTCTGTTCTAGCCAAGGCCTCTAGGGATCTATGGCAGTATACCAAATAATCAAACACTCTCTAAAGAACTTTGTTTCTCAAAGCAGCCAGCAGCTCAACAGAGCAGCTGTGCAGTCACCACAGCAAAGAGACTAATGGCTGAACAATTATGCAGGTGGCTGCAATGGCACATCAGACAGGAGAACTGAGTGGGGAAACCCACACAACTTACTGCTTTTGTATTTTTGTCTGCAGGACTAGGAGTCTGTGCTTGTCCACAGTATTAACATCTTCCTAAAATGAAATGAGGGAGGAGGATGTATTTCTGTGTCAACACGCTTGCAAAACTGAAAAAAAGATTTTGAAACTGATGCAACAGTAGCAGAGAGACTTGTCTGCTACAAATAATGTATTTACCTTTTGAGTGGGCAAGTAAGTGAGGACATAGATATCTGAGAAGTAATTACATCCCTGCCCCAAAATCCTCATTTGCACTGGGACTTGAGGGCAATCAGCATCCCACCCAACTGCTGAGCAGCCTGTAATAATAAGCTCCAAATCAAGAGTGAATAGAAGCAGCTAGCCATTATAGTCTAATCCGGTACATCTATTTGAAAATAAAGGGGAAAAATATGTATTTGTGTCTGGGGCCAAATGAAAGCAGGAGCCCTTAGTCTATGGGGTTTTATGTATTTTGTCTATTATTAGAAGCTTTTATTTTGCTATTCTCAAACAATTCCAGTTGTTAATATCCTCTTCACATTTCTCTGCAGGCTGCTGAGAGTTATTAATTTCATGTAGCACTGTCCATTTATCCAATGTAATTTTACTGAGTTTCCTGTGGCTAATCACAGAGTAGAATTTGGAAAATTACTTTCTTTACAGATGATTTACATCTGAGGTAAATAGACCAAAAATCAGAATCCCAGTTCAAAATGCATCTGTGCTTTTGGAGCATTCAGAGCTCTGGAGAATTGAATTTCATCTGGTTAATGTGCAGAAAGGAAAAGGGCAGTCAGGTCCCCGGTGATAATGTCAGACGTGAGGGTTCTGACAGGCAGAGATGAGTGGTTCATTAACTGCTGCTCTGTCCCTATGAGCCCCACTGGCTTCCTGGACTGAGCCAGATCTGAGTATAAGTGAGCTAACCGTCAGGTACAGCATGTCCCTCCTCACAGCTTGCTAATGCTCAGGGAAACAAGTGCATTTATTCCACTCACAGAAGAAGAGCCAGAGATCCATATTCTGTTAGGTCTGTTGTTACTGCTACATTGGTCAGTCACCATAAGGTCAAGATAGGGGTGGTTTAATATATAGTTAGCCCTTTTCCCCTCGTCTGGGAACATCCTAAAGGCATCAAGGCATCCTGAGGCCTTAAAATGTCCTACTGCCCTTAATCTGACACTAGCTTTTCATGTTTTCTCATATAGCCCATCTTTGTGTTTTACTTTGTCTTTCCAACTCAAAATAGAGAAAATGAAGTCAGCACTATGCTCTTCTCTGGCCATGTAGAGGCCTCCTTACAGCTAGGGACTAGCCATGTCCTATTTTAGTTTGTGGTCCTTCAGACACAAGGAAGGAAAGTGTCCAACTGTCCACCCAATCAACTCCAGATGAATATGTGCCTTTGCAGAACAAAGTGCATGGCAGTTTTATCTCATTCTGGCCTGTACCAGAGCATTTACACCGAGACGCATGACCAGACCTACTTTTGCAGTAATCTGTTTTGGGAATTAGAACAACAACCAGGAACTGGAAAAGAAAACCCTGATAACTCAAATGCGTTACGTGTCTAATCATCTCAAGGACATGCCTCTGAAGACAGGTTTGCCTGTGTGACATAGGTAGACTTGAGCTGTTGGTACCAAGGCAAATGCCCTTTCATACGAGCACAAATGGTCTCCTTCTCTTTGGGAGGTCTTGGGACGTTGTGCCACCCATCCTATCTTTCCTATGTAGGTTACTAGTGAAGATGTTTTTCAGTTGTAGAAAATACTCAAAAAGCTTCCTGTGTTGGTAGAATACATATAAGAATTACCTCCCAAAGATCTGCTTAGTCTGCCTGCAAAAGCAAAAACAGCCCAGGTTTCTTAAGCGTGGAATGTTAATGAGTCAAGTATCATCTGTAGAGTAGTGTCACCTCATTTTAATCATCAGCTTTGTGCCAGTAGATCTTACTACTGCCCAGATTTGAAAAGGCTGAGAACAGAAACAAGTTACAGAATTACAGACCGTCTCACTACCCAGTCCTTTAGGCCTCATTCCTCCCCAAATTATCCTGATGTGAACCGGCATCCATCTCTTTAAACCCGTTGTCACCATCATATTGCCTCCATTTTATTTCTCCACTTGTCTTCTCTGTGTTCTTTTCTTTTCCTGGTATCAGAGCATGTTATGATTTGGAAGCCAGCAATGTTCTACAGCCCTTTTTAACCATCTCCTTGACTGACCTTCACTGAGAGTAAGGTTAGTGATATGCA